GACAAGTTCCAGACAAGGAACTAAAAAAAGTCAGAACAGGGCAAATTTCAAATGTTCATATCAGAGTCCATTGGAGTTTCTTGATGAGCGCTTCCAAAAGTATCCTTCTATTGGGTTCATCCTCATTTTTCTTTTGTCTTCCAAGGCTGAACTCTAGAGTGATGGATTCAGGATTTGTTTTCAGGTCTTTTGATAGCTGTTGGAATGGTTAGAATCAGTGTCAGTTCCCTCTCAAAGGCTTCTAGATAGGGGGAGAAAACAAATTTATCCATCATTTTAGAACAATAAGGGTTGTCTTCCTTAGCTATAGGTAGGCACTACAGTATTGAAGACCAAGATTTGAAGTCTTACATCTGAGCATCACTTTCTGGTTAGGAAAAAAATCATCAATGAGAAATAATTGTCTAAATAACTTTTTATATAGACTTAAGCCTAATATCTAGGAAGTATAATCCCTTGAAGTCTTAAAGAAACATACTGATGACTTTACTCTTTGGTTATACTTTCCTTTTGGGTGTTTAAGACCACACAGTTGGCCTAAATAAATCAATTTATTTTAACAGTTAAAGTCATTCATTTTCACATTTAAGGTCATTTGAGGATCTGTTCCCCAGGGGTCACATGGTCTTGGGAGGAGCTCCTGGCTCCTTTCTTTTATCAGTTCCATCTATGTGAAGATAAGTCAAAGGTCCTGCTTGACCATGTCTGGCTTTACTTGGGAGCATGGATGAGATGTTTCCTTGGAGTTGACCCTCCTCTTTGTAGACTGGACACTGGTTCAAGTCCATCTTCCATGTCCTCCCTGAACAAGAGGACAGGTGACTCACCACAGTTACAAGACATTTTGAGAGATGTTCCATAGTCCCCTGGAACTTAGTCCACCTTGGAGGGCAAGGGGCAAAAACTGTCCTTTATGTCCCTCTGACCACATTAGTATAGACCTCAAAGTATGGATGTTAAACATCCAATAAAGTTAGTTCCACCAGTCTGGTACTTTTAATTATCATGTGCTATGTAGATAAGGCTTGGGTGAAAAAACAAATATTCCCAGATAAACCTTGACTAGATATATATATTGTTCCTTAAACTAGTTGACTAAACCTTGACTATAGAAATTTTAAGATTATGTATATATTATTTTTGTCTCATTCTTTTTATAACAAACCTACCTTCATCACTTGCTTAAGCTTTCTCATTTTTTTCTATTTTGGATAATATCTCCATTCCCATATCCTTTTAACATCTTTTACATTCCCATTTTCTTTTTTTTAAATAATTATGAGACATAATAGCATTAACAAATACATTTTCCATCTGTTGTGCGACTTCTTTACCTGAGGATGCTAAGCAATGCTTATTCCTGACGAAAGGAACTTATAATAGGAAGAGTTTATTTAGCTTACAATTCCAAAGCAGCAAGAGTCCGTCATGGTGAGAGTCATGGCAGCAGAGGTAGTTGGAGTAGGAGCAGAAGCTAAGCACTCACATCTTTAAGCAGGCATAGGAATCAGAGAGTGACTGGAGATCTAGCAAGGCTGAAGAACTTTCTAAGCCCAGCCAGAGTAATGTGCTTCCCCCAGCATGGCCACACCTTCTAAGACCTCCCAAAACAGTGCCATCAACTGGGGACAAAAATGTCCTAATACTTGTAGCCTATGGGGGACATTCTCAGTCGAACCACCACATTCCATATTTCAAAAGGGAAGAATTGGGCACACCTAAGCCAAACCTAAGTCCAGCAGAGTAGCTCAAGGCTGGACATCTGGGATTCATTCACAATCTCCTGGGCTCCTAAAAGGGTTTTGGCACATTCAGTTCTCTGACTCTGTTGTCCATGACACACGCAGCTTGTCTTTCAGACTCAGGTCAGCTCCATTCCACACCTGCTGCTGCCCTTGGTGGCCCTCCCATGGTCCTGGCATCTCCATAAAACTTGAATCTCCATTGAAACTGAGGCTGCATCTTCATCAATGGCCTCTTGGGAGTGCAAAGCCTCAGATTCTCTCCATGACCCCTTCAATCCTGGAGTCTTCACTGCAACTGAGGCTGCATTTTCACCAAGCAACAGCTGCTCTCTGTGACCCCTTCGTGCTTTCAACACCGGAATCATGCAGGAGACTCTTACACATCACCAAGTCCTGCTTCCAGCTGAGATGGAGGCTTGGGCCCCCTCTGGACCACAGCTTCTGTGTTGACCCAGAGGAAATATTTCCCAGACAATTTTGCAACAGAGATGCTGGTCTCTTGTTACTTACAGCTGGTTTTTCAGCCTCACCTAACCAGCATCAATTTTCCTAGTAAAGCAAAGGTTTCACTTTAGTGCTTCTGGTCTCTTCTTAATCACAGCTGATTCTTCAACCCCAGCCAACCAGAAACCACAGATTCTCAATCCAAAATATTCCCCAAATAGTCCTGATAGTCTCTGCTTCCCTTTGAAGCTTCACAAGCCAGTCCTCCATTATCTACAACTTTTTCGGTATGACTGTTCCAAGTTCCACATCAACGAACTCCAAGTACTCAATAGCTTTTCCAGCACAGAGTTCCAAATGCTTCCACAATCCTAAAATCACCAAGGTCAAGTCTGTGACCGCAATGCCCCACTCTCTGGTACCAATTTCTGTTCTAGTTTGTTTCTCCATTGCTGTGACAAAACACTGTGACCAATATCAACTTAGGGATGAAAGGGTTTATTTGGCTTACATCTCCTGGGTCATAGTTCATCACTGAGGGAGCCCAAGGTAGGATCAGGGCAGGAACCTAGAGGCAGGAGCTGAAGCACAGGCTGTGGAAGAATGCTGCTTACTCACTTGCTCTCCTTTGGCCTGTGCTCAATGTGGTTTCTTATACAACATAGGCCCAACTGCCCAGGGGTGGCACCACCCACAGTGGGCTGGGCCCTGCCACATCACTCAATAATCAGGAAGATGTCTCACAGAGATGACCACAGGCCATGTTCAATGGAGACAGTTCACCAACTGGGGATCCTTCTACCCAGGTATGTCAAGTTGACAACTAAAGCTATCCAACACAACAGGGTTTACAGTAGGATAAGGCTACTGATGACTTTCCCCAGAAGCCTATATAGTACCCTCCAGTTCTATAAAATCAAGCCTGCAGGGAGGAAGCTTCCTGGTCACTAGTGTTTTGATTTCTTCAGGTCATGTGATCAATGTGTGTGGTGTCTTCAGCAATAGGGCCTTACAGTCAAGTTCTGGTGGACAGCCAAAAGCAGTGGAGGTATCCTATATTGTTTTGGAGGTTTTCTAGACACCTCCAACCAACAACTTAAGAGAAGATATCACAAATCTGGCACCAGGCTTTTTATATGGCAATATGACTCTAGCACAAGTATAATCCCCTGAGTAGATTAAGTCCAAGAAAAAAAAAAAATATATATATATATATATATATATGTGTGTGTGTGTGTGTGTAGCTTATAAAATAGTAGGCTTCCATATGGCATTTTCAAATATCTTTAGTGTCAATTATCTCTCTCCCAACCCCTCTCTGCTCTACCCTCATTGCCCCCTTCGTATTACCTGTGTTTTACCATCCTCCCTGCCTTAAGATCTTTCTTCTTAATGACTCCTTTCTCGTTTCCTGGATTCTACAGGTACTCCAAATTAAACACACAAATCTAAAAATTTGACACCAAGATCCACATCTGCGTGAGAATATGCATGATTTGTCTTTCTGGGTCTTGGTTACTTCACTCAGTATATTTTGCAGCTGCATCCATTTATCTGCAAATTTATAATTTCTTTTTCTTTAGAGGAGTGTAAAATTTCATGGAGTATAGTACCACATTTTCATTGTCCATTCATCAGATGATGGTTATCTCGTTTGTTTCTCTGACCCAGCTATTATGAGTAGAGCAGCTATGAGTGTGGATGAGCAGATGTCTCTGTAATAGAATATAGAAGCCGTTGGGTATATGCCAGGAGTAGTATGGTTGGGTCATAGGGTAGATCTATTTCTAGTTTTCTGAAGAACTGCCATGCTGATTTCCACAGTGGCCACACCAGTTTGTACCCACCAACAGTGCATGAAGGTTCCCCCTTCCCCACATCTTCACCATCATTTTTTCTTTCTTTCTTCTTCTTTTTTTTTTTTTTTTTTTTTTTTTTTTTTACTTATCAGTGTTACCCAACATAGAGCATGGTTACAGAGCACATCATAATATAGTATATGGTACATAAACATAGGTCCCTGAGTTGGGTTGGGATTTCTTACCCACTTTCCATGCCTAGGCTGGGATTTTATCTGGTTTGAGCTTGCATAAGATTTGTGCATGCTGTCACCATATGAGTTCATATGTGTAACTGATGAGCTATCTGGAAGACTCTATTTCCTTGTGGTCATCCACCCACTCTGACTCCTAGAATCTTTCCGTCTCCTTTTCTGGAAATCCATGAGCCTTGGGAGGCAGAGGTTTGAAAGAGTCCTATTCAGGAATAAGTACTCTGTGGCCTCTTATTCTCTGCACATTGGCCAATTGTGGGTTTCTACATTAATCACCATCTAGTACATAAATATAAATATATGTATGTATATGTAAAATAAAAATCAAAGAAAAGGACAAGAAATTGAGAGGGAATTGGGGGACATGGGAGGAGTTGTAGGGGGACTGGGAGGGATGGAAATAATGAAAATACAATGCTTTGTATTTCTCAAAAATAAAATGAATTTTAAAAAATTAAAGATCTTTAAAATGCAATAATTTTAAAACAAAAACAAACAAGATTTTTTTTTTGCTGGCCTCAATCCCCTCTGACTTATGTAATGTGTTATAATTATTATTATCAAAGTTCATAATGAGGAGTAGTTTGGCCTATGATTTTCATGTTTGTCCATTTCAGTGCTATGGCAATATGCAAAATGGCTCTGATTCTGCAACAGACACTCCTTGTTTGGATTTGCTCAGGGAAAAAATGAGAAGAAAAGACCTGCAGCTTTTAGAAATGAACAAAGAGAATGAAGTATTGAAACTCAAGGTATCACTATTTGGAGAAATTGTAGATTTCCTCTTGTAAGCTTTTGAGTGCCCAAGCAGATGGCTACCATTCCTGGGTCTATGCAGGCGGACAGACACCCACTCATACCCATAAGCTCACACACATGCAAACATACAGACAGAAGCATTTGTATATTATGCAACTTAAGTATCACTGTTTTACTTGGTGGATACTTTTAGTATTGAAGAAATCCTATGAAGTTCCATGGGTATAAAGTTTCAGTTTTACCTGTACTGGCTAGAACTGTAGTACTCCTGTGTGATGTTATATCTATAGCAAACAATGCTGTATTGTATTCTTATGAACTGTTAAGGAAAGAGAGCTCAGGTTAACTGCTCATTACTACAGAGAGATAGCTTAGTCAACTAAATGCTTGCCACATAAGCACGAGGGCCTGAGTTAGACTCCCAGCACCCAGATACCAAGCATAGAGATGTGTGAATGTAATCCTAGTGCTACTAAGGCAGAGACAAGATCTCTGGAGCCAGCCTAGCTTAACACATGAGCCCCCAGAACCCAGTGAGGGGCCCTGTCTCAAAGAAAAAAAGACAAGGTTGATAGCACCTGAAGAAGAATTCCCAAGGTTGCTGCTGTCTGGCCTCCATGTGTACGCATGCACATGCACACACACGTGTGTGTGTGTGTGTGTGTGTGTGTGTATGTATATATGCCCCCACAATGTTAACTATAACTTTAATTGCCAAATTGTTTAATTGATCTATTGCTGAATGCTTTATCTTTTCCTTTTTGGGCTGTTTTATATGTGGCCCTGTAACAATTATCTAGGTAGGTAAATCTATGTAGCCATCCTTGCTCATTTCCTTAAGTTAAACCTTTGAATGATTTTGAACTTTATTGCTCTTATTACTCTTGTCCTACTTGTATTTCAGAGAGATATACCTGTTATTACTGTTGTGACTATTTGCCATAAAAGACTTGTACTGAAGTGTACTGAGTGGGTGCCATCTACCCAGGCAAGGCACTGATATGTGTAGCACACTGTTTTGGCTTGACCATGGCAAAAATGCCCATGATCAATCCCTTACAAAGCAGAGAGTTCATTTGAAATTTTCTTCTTACCAAACACCACCATCTTCTCTCTCTTAAATTATCTCCAAAGATGTATATCATAGTTACAAACTGCGCTTTTAATTGTCCACCAAACTGTTCTGCCTCTCACTCTGTTTGTTGGAGACTCCAAAGCATGCAGAGTGACCTTGTTTTTCCTAGTTGGAAGCTTCCAGAGAAGCAGGAGCAGCAGCTCTGAGAAACGTGGCCCACAGATTATTTGAGAACTACCAAATGCAATCTGAAGATATGAAGAAGAAGCATGAGGACAGTAGACATTTACTCCAGGTACCAACTCTAGCTGTAACTCATCCTCTGGGAGCTGAGTCCCACCCAGCAGTTCAGTGCTTTCAGGAGGATGTGAATGTGAGACAAGCATGGCCAAGTATTTTCACAAGCTCAGGAACCAGGCCTGGTGCCCGCATTTTGTGCTGGTTCCCCTGTCCTGCTTAGACTGCCCTGGGTGTTGCTGAGCTACTGTTGTACTCTTTGCCCAGGGCCCTGGGAAAGCCTAGGAGATGAATGCAGGAGCACCCTGCCTGGGGGCCAAAGCTGGTTCTAGAGAGACAGACCAGGGACTCTGCTTCTGGCTCTTCCTTTGAGTAGCAAGATGATCCAGATGGAGATGCTCTGCTTCTCTGTATCTGGATGTCCTTATCTATAGAGGAAAGTTGGGCCTGATAAATGGGTTCCAAAGAATTTAAATTTAAGAGCACATTCTTCAGATTTTAAGAAAGATATGCAAACAAAAATTGTGAATGTAAATATATAAAACTCACACAGTAGGATTGAAGGAGAAAAACGTGGTGTGTGTGTGTCTGTGCGTGCACTGAAATTCAAAATATAAAGCAACTGGAAGGGATGTCTGTTCATTGTGATGTGGGATGTTTGGGTCTCTTCCAGTTTAAAGCTTAGGAAGATCCTCTGAGGCTGCATTAGGAAATCTGTGGCCTGTACGATGCCCCTTGTGCTTTACCCTGTGGTGCTGGTAGTCGCAAACACACCTATGTGCAGGCAGGGCGGGGATGAACAGTGTAGAGAGAGAGAACTAGCTGGCATATGTGGTCCAGTGGTACAGTGCATGAATGGTGAGATGTGCAGGAACAGGGGCATGTTCTTGCATTGGTGGCCCAACCCTAACCCAAGCAGCCAGGCTCACCTGGTGTTTTCAAGGGCAGACAGGTAATTGATTTTTGCTAAAAGATCTTGATCACTGTTATATATGCACATACATAAATATGCACGTTCACTTCAGGTGGAAGTCAGCTGAAGCACTCCTAAATGGGGGAACTTCTCTTCTGTGATCTTTCAACACTTGCTGTTATCTGACAAGAAACCTTGGGATGCAGTGGTATAATTACCCTGCAAACGATACCTTCTGACTAGAAAGAAAACATTTTTAGTTGTATATATAAGATGTAATATTTTGCTCTAGATGATGTTTGTTGAGGAAAAAAAAATATTTTGCTTTTAAATTGTATCTGTTGTCTTCTTATCATCTTAGGAAGTCTACTTTATGATAACAAATATGAACATCCTAGAAATAATATTTACACATTACTAATTCTGTTTTGATTTAGTTTTATACTTATTAGGTTTAATTTAAAGGGAACACTAAGATAAAAAACAATTCTAAGCAAGTATGACTAGTTAGGGAATTCTATGGGGAGATAACCTATGTATGATTTAATAAAAACATGTCCAGCAACTGTTTTTCTGACCAAAGGTCAACAACCTTGAAAAAGAACAGAAATTAAAGCAACATGTTGAAAATCTGAGTCAACTTTCGGAAAAACTTGAAGAAAAACATAGTCAAATCACGCATATGGAGAACCTTGTACAGAGGATGGAGAAGGTAAGTCAATGGAGAATTAGAGATTTCTTCCTCATAGGGTTAAGTTAAAGAGGAAGAAAAACAACACTGAAAATTTAAAAGGACACCAAATAGATAACAGGTGTTGAAAGTTTTCTTTGATATATCTGTTTTTAGCAAGCGCTGGTCAATTTCATCTTTCCCCTTGAACATTGAATATAACCTGTTCTGTAGTTACTGACTTGTCTCTGGGAACTCCAACACCAGACCCCTGTCTTCCACTCTCTCTTTCTAGTCAATGTGTGTCTCAGGTCGGGCTGTGGATGAAATAACAGAATAGATCAGAAAGTCGCCCCGTTAGAGCAATAGCAGAGTAGATCTCTGTAACCTAGCATTTGGATGTATTAGAATCAGTGTAGTATCCATTTTTGTCCACTCATGACAACTTTGGGTTTATATAGGTGATGACTACCGCAAGAAAGAGATAGCACTGTTAGAATTGGAACTCTCAAAGGCATTTAGTGAGGAGTAGCAGAAGAAAAAGTTTTAAAAGTTTCATTAAGTATGCCTTGAAGTGGCTAGCTCTACAAATACGCACAAATTATAAGCCACATAAATTTAATTATGTGCTTTAGAATTTAGAATTCAGATAAATAAAGGAATATGATCCTTTACTAGCAAAACAAATGGGAGATGGGCATTTCTGAAACTGAACTGAGAGAGGATGAGATCATAGTCTAGAGGGTCTAGTGAATTTTGCCTAGAGCGTTCTTGTCCTCATCATATTCCTGGATTGGGCTCTGATCTTCTCAGTCTTAACGTCTGATGAGTTTTCTTAGGTTTATGTCATTTGTGACATGTCATGAGGTATTTCATTTCAATACTATGACCTATCTGACCAAAGGAAGTTTTGTTAGTTTAAAAATATTCCCTAAGAATGTAATAACATTTATAATCTTAATGAAGTTTCTGTGAGGCTATCACTTTAAATAAGCTCAAACATAACAGGACTTAATAAAAGTAATATTCAGCCTCATCTCTATTTTGTGATGGGTCACCAACTGTTATTTGTAGAATCAGTAAGTAGTCTTTAGCGAGAGAGAGAGAGAGAGAGAGAGAGAGAGAGAGAGATGATAGATATAGATATACAGATATATAGATATATATAGTGTGTTTTCAGGGGCAGACAGGTAATTGATTTTTTTTCCTGAAAGCTCTTGAACACTGTTATATATGCACATACATAAATATGCACGTTCACTTCAGGTGGAAGTCTTTTGTCTTGTAATAAATAGTTTGACAAACTAAGATAGCACAGTGAATGCTTGTATTTAGGAAAGGAAAACAATTCTGCCAAGCAAATAGGGTTATCTCACCAAACAACTTGATTAACTAACTTGGAATGGAAGATAAGACTTGCAACCACCCTATTTCAAGTTCAGGATCAGATTAGTGGCCACCTGCCAGTGCCTGAAATGTAACAAAAAACAGTGGAAGATTATCTATGTTTCCTAACAATCCAAGGAATTCTGTATTAGACTTGAGCTCTTTCCAGAGTCCTGAGTGTGTTTACTATTCATTCAAGACATTTGATCACCTATCATGTGCTTCTCAGAGCTGGGGCCTGTAGATACATTAATATTTGAATGAACTGGAAATAGTCACTATTTGTGGCCATCATAATGTTTATAACTGGACTGTACTGGGCTCAAGGAACTTCCCAGGTCTCCTGTTTTAAATTCTTGTAAGGATTCTCTGGAGAAGCTGAAAGCCCATTAAGGTAGGGGCAATGTACCCAAGAATCCAGCTCAGAGGAAGGGCATTTGGAAGAAGTGGTCCCTAGCTCCTGCCTTGTTATTGACCTATAATTGTGATACTCCTTGAGAGCTCTATGACACAGTAAATGGACAGGATGCCATGGCTTAGCAAGGCCAAGCAGCAACCTTCCAGAATTCTCTATTCATTGACATCTAAAGTGGAGCCTCTTAGAGCCTGGAGAGTGGAGGTGAGTGGTGATCAAATACATCAAAAATGTGCAGGACTGTTGTTTTAAAAACACATTAGTCTAAAGATATTTCATATTTGCAAAACAAGCTTGGAAGGAAAACTGTAAGCAGCAGAGCTTGGCAACATCTTCTAGGGTTAAGGAGATAATGAGAATACAGGCTGTGTGGAAGTTTCTTGGGTAGGGAATGCATTTCAGAATGAAGGAGCCTTTTGTACTGATGGGAAAAGGGGCAAGTTCAAGAAGGAAGTAGAAAGGAAAAACGCGCATCCTCAGAAAGGCTGATAGATACTGCCCTGGTGGTGGCTGCCCCCTGAGAAGGATTCTTTTGCTACTCACTTGAGTAAGGCCCTGCTCCAGTAAATAGCCATTAGTGCTGTGAGGTCTGGTAATGAACACATTACTTAAAGCCTCCACCATCTGTCCCAATTTAATCAGGAATGCGGCGAGAATGAATTCTGAACACACAGCGATAAGCTCGCAGAAGCACCCAGTAGAAGCGTTTTAGCACAGCATATGCTCCTTTTGCCAGCAGTGTGATTCTGTTGCTTCTTATTTGTTTCCTAGTGCCACTGATTTAGCTCCACTAGAATCTAGGAGGGTATAGGCGCTTCAGAGACCATCTTCTTCCTCATCATCCTTTCATAAATGAGAACAGAGTGAACAAAACCCACTCCATGATCCTTCTGTTGCAACGTTTTCTATCATGCTTCCCTCCTTTTTATGTGGGATAAAGATTACATTCTGTGGCCAGTGAGATGACTCAGTGGGAAAGATGTTTGCATCAAGCCTGCCGAGTTCGATTCCGGGGACCCTTATAGTGGAAGGAGAGAGTTAATGCCCTTATATTTTCTTCTGACCCCCTCACTGTGCACTGGCACATACCCACCCCCACACACCCACACACACAGACACACACGCACACACGCGCACACACACACACGCAGACACTCCCCCACCACATGCTCTCACATGCACATACACACTAAATAAATAAAAATAATAAATGTTTTTAAAGATTGTATTTGGGGTTGTTAAGTCATTTATATATTAATGTTTGTCAACGATTGAAACTGCTATATGATCTACTCTGATCAGTTGAGGAGGGAAGCCTTGAGCTCCCTAGAGGTTAAGCAGCTGCCCTTGTGAGGTGCTGGGTGCTTTCAGTGGACACAGCCAAGAAGAGAATGTGAGGCAACTGTGATTTTTTGAATTGCCAAAGAGAAGTTCATGAAGAGCCCACGGCCTATGTGAGTCCTGGCCAGAGCAGAAAATGCTCTTCTTAGTTGTCTGATCTCTGGACTTGGCTAGGAACATTCATTAGTCAAGAGAGAGTCCACTAGGAGGGTGTTTGTCATGTACCTGTTGCCCACACCCTACAAGTCCAAAATACATTATTTGTGATAGTGTTTTTTGAGAGTTCCTGTTTGACCATCAGCCTTAAGGTGTAGCTGTTACCTCTCAGAAACCAAGGCATGTATGAAGCAATATCTATAAGGCAAAAATGTTCTAAGAAATTGAGTAAGTCAGCATAATTAAAAATACCAACTCATAAGATAAGAAGTAACCGGTACCTTTAAATTACCATGTATTGAAGTTCAGCTGTATGCCAGGCTCTTAACATATACTTTGTCTCCACCTAGTCCAACTTTTCGTTCATATACATAGTATCTTCATTTTAGGAATATCCACAAGTTAAGCACATGCATCATACAAATATAGAATGGGTACATTGTTTTATTCAACTCATTAGTAACTGTAGAAGCAGTATGATGGTAAAGATGGTTTATATATTTTGAGAAACATGCTATTTATAGGTATTTTTTGTATTGGGGAGGTATGTAGACAGAACGCAGGATTACGTTACCAGGCTAGATATATCTAATTAATATTCTTTAAGAAAATTAAACTATAACCTTTGGTGTTATCTGTTCTATTAGATAGAAATCTATAAATTAAATTTGACATGGAAGATCACGTCTGTGATTCTGGTCCTAAGAAGGGTCAGTGAGACAAGAGGACCATGAGTTTAAAAACCAGTCTGGCTAAAATGGAGCCATAATGAGTTCGGGGCCAAAGAGCCAGGGTTCTATTGAAATAGTAAATAATAAAGTGAGATGGGCAAAAGTTCTTGAACAATTAAATAACTGTTGAATCAGATTATCAGACAGTGACCCAGTGTGACATTAAAACTACATGCTATAGATTGCTTTCATTTTCAAGTTTTGGTTAAATTTTCTTAACAAGATGAGGTCCATAGAGGTTAAAACCTTTATCAAAGCTTCAAACTGACCGCCTTTCTGCTGTACCACACTTGTGTAATGCCCATTTATTTATTTATTTATTTTTTATTTTTTGTTCTTTTTGAGATAGGGTCTCCCTGTAGCCCCAGCTGTCCTGGAACTCACTTTGTAGACCAGGCTGGCCTTGAACTCACAGAGAGCCACCTGCCTCTGCTTCCCGAATGCTGGGATTAAAGGCACGCGCCACCACACCTGGCTGTGTAATGCCCATTTAAATGCTGTGATAGGCAGCAATTTTAAACAGCCTTGCAGTGGTTTCAAAGCATGCCCTACTGGTTCTGTTCATGATCTCGATACCAACTCCTGCCTCTTCTCAATCTTCTCTGGTTCCCCCAACTTGGCACTAAACCAGCACCCAAACTCCTAATTCCTTTATTCACCAGGGTGCACATCTAAGGGTAGCTCTTTATGGACTGGTCTGTTTTTCTTTAGGGATGACTAGTTGGTTTAATAATTAAGTTATGACATTTTAAAAGATATATTTTCTCAGTGCCATAGTCTCTTCTGGATCTTAATTAGGAAGCGATGTTATCACTTGTGGTCTTGATCCCTTATTAAGATGCTTTTGCCTCTTCACTGCTCAGCGACAGATGCTATGAAAGCAGGTAGAGGGGCCAAATATGTGCAGTGGTACCCTTGGATACTTAGGCTCTCCTAATGTGGTGGAGAGGCAGGTGCAGAGGTGGGAAAGCCCATGTTAAGAGAGTGCTAAGCGGGCTCCTCACTTGGGGTACAGTGGAGGAGGTGAACAGGCAAGGTTGCACTGTGAGGGCTCCATTGCAGCAGGGGCTGGAGGAGGAGCAAACTTTCCCCCTAAGGAATGAGTGAGGCATGAAGAAAAGGACTTTGTTTGTTATGACAAAGGATCCCATGCAGCCCTTACTTACTTTTAAAGCACAAAGGACAGTGTCTGACCAGGCTTCCTGTGGTACATTGTGACAACGCACATGAAATGACCTCTGTAGATCAACATATTTCCAGTATTTCAAGAGGCATTTTTGTGAACACTTTGCAAGTACATGCACACGCGCATGCACACACACACACACACGTACACGCACACACACATATGCACATACCACCCCCCATACACAAATAAGAAAACTGTATCTTATTTTCTCCTAGGAAAAGAAAACACTCCTAGAAAGAAAGTTGTCTTTGGAAAGCAAGCTGCTGCAACTCAAATCCAATGCTGCGTGTGCACAAAGGTTTGAAAATTTTCCTCCTAAGCCAAGGCAGTTTCTGATATCTTTACTCTGTATTGTAATGATAGATAGTGGGTGGAGGGGTTTACACCCCCCAAGGAAGTAGGAAAAATTCAGGGAAAAGGGAGAGGAAATTCCTAGGATTAACAACCAGAAATCTCCCATTGCTCACCTACTGAAGAAGCAGGGGCCAGAAAACAGGAGAGTCCTTGTGACCCACTAAGAGAGTTCGTTTTTCTGAAAAGTAAGTGAACCTGTATGTCTCTATTTACTCTTGGAGCCAAAGATGCTAGAGCCATTTCACCCCTCTGCTTCTATCCTTGTTAATGGGTATCTTGAACAGTCTATATCACACTGACCAGTCCACAAGTGACATTACGATAGGCACTCCTCAACTCTGTAGACAATGAACGGAATTCTATGAAATGTATCCATAATTCATTGGGCTGGCTTGTCCATTCTAATCATTCTGTCAGTCTCTGCTTTTACTACATGAAGGGTGGGACCGCTTGTCATTATTAAAGCAGCTGTCCTGCTCAGCTGCTGCTAGGAAACCCCCTACAATGTTAGGCCACAATTCATATCACAGGATATTTTCTGAGATTTGTCTTTTCTTTTTTATTCTAAGCCCATCATAGTTGTATGCCTTGGTACAAAGATAACATGTTCTAAATCAACTCTGTTTCAACATCTTAGTTCATCTTTGGTCACTATGTTATCAGGCATTATTATGAACCTCCAGGGGGCAAATTTATATTGTCATTTATTTGATAATATAGTCCTAGATGTCCTTCTTGATTTTAACCCCTACCCCCCATTTCTCATTCCTTTCTTATTGTATCTCTGTCTCACCCCATCTTTTTTTTTTTTTTTTTATACTTTGTGCTTTCTGTCTGGCTTGTGATTATGCATTTTTTCCCCTATGGTAAAGACCAGAAACACACTAGATTGAAATTGAAATTGAAATTTGAAATATTCTGTCATATTAATAGGTTAGTTTCCTTATCTTCCTACCTGTGAATAAGCACAGAACCCGAGAAAGCAGACTCTTGTGACAGAGGATTATCACTATCCATCTTGGTAAAAAAGGAAAGCTAGGTTGCAGGAAACATCCCTAGACCATGGGCTTACTTACAGATACCCGTCACTAAATTCTAAGTACAGTTTTTGCTTTTTTTTAAATTTACTTACTTCTTGGCCTTAAATATGAAGAATTATACAATGTGTTAAGTCCAATAAGTCTGAGTTTGATGTTTTCCTTTAAGTTTTTTAAACTGATAGGGGTTTTGTCTTCCTTTGAGGTAACAGTCTAATCAATGGAAAATCCAAAGTGATCTGTCCTCTCATTTCTGTCATATATGAGCAATTATCATAAGGAATTCTCAAAAGGCTCTTGAGGAAGTTTTAGAAATTTCATGGGGGGATTGAGTGTTTTGTGTTACCAGAAAGATGTTTGAACTTCTAGGCTTATGCAATTTTCAGACTGTAGACATCACAAATATTTGTCTCACTTCTTACCTCTTCCGAGCTGTGTGAAAGGGCATCACTCACTTTACTCGGGGACAACAATAGTGAAATCACTATGTGTGGTGTTTTGAATGAGAATGTTCCCCATAGGCTACAAGTATTTGGACATTTTGTCCCAGGTTGGTGGTGCTGTTTTGGGAGGTCTTAGAAGGTGTGGTCACTGGGGGTGAGCTTAGAGAGTTCATAAGCCTTGCCAGATCTCCAAGCACTCTCTGCTTCCTGTGCCTGCTTGAAGACATGAGAGCTTAGTTTCTTCTCCTCCTCCAGCCACCTCTGCCACCATGCCTCCCTGCCATGATGGACTCTTGCCCCTTTAGAATCATAAGCTAAATAAACTCTTCCTTTATAAGTTCCCTTGGTCATGGTGTTTCTATCACAGCAACAGAAAAATAGCTAATACAGTATGAATCAGATGCTAGGGTGAACCAATAAGAGCTTGGTTTAAACACCACGGGTTAGAGAGATTTCTTATTGTTTGCCATCGAATGGATAGGGCCATGAAGAAGAGACAGAAAAATAAAAGAGTTACTTTCTTAAATATAAGGTTGATTCTGTATTTCTATTGCTGCTGCTACAATCATGTGTAAATACTTTCCAGCTTACAGAGGAACCCCATATGCCTTGTGTAATTTAATGTTAACAGTGACTTCTTGAGGAAGGACTTGAGTTTCTACTGGTTAAGGGACTTGTGGAGATATTAAGTTTCTCAAAAGTTGCAAGGCTGGGAGTTTGGTTCCAGCGTTATCCTTAGCAAAGCCTTGCATTTTGCTGCAGAGGACTTTGATATCCCTTCTTTCGTTTCTGGAGACCTCTGAGAATGATTTCCTTACTCTCCTGGGTGACAACGAGAAGACCATTTCCTAACTTGTCCTTCTGCTCTGCTCCCTCACATATAAACAGAGCCCGTGCTAGAATATTTCGGGGGAGACAGCTGAAGGTTGGTGAAAGTGAACACTGTTGGCTACTCTATGTAGGTAGGAACTGCCTAGGCACCCCAAATTCATTCAAGGAGGAAAGATGGTTATCCTCACCTGAGGTTGCATATTAAAACCCATTGTCGTGACTTAAATTGTGCCTTTATGTTTAGTAGTTTGAGGGGCTCTTTTTGGTCACCCTTTTGGCTCCATTATTGAAAGTTACAGCAGAGAGGATTTTGATGATCTATAAAAAGACATGTTCCTGAGTTTTGTTGAAATGTAAACAGGGCTTCTATCCATGCTGATTTTTCACTTTGGTCTGAGAGAGAAATGGTGAAAACTTGATCTCTTTTGTTTTCTTGGTTCTGATGGTCTTTCCTCTACTGGGGAGCCACATACAGTGACTGCCATACTCACAGAGGGTCAAAGGAATGCTAGAGCCTGGAAAGCAGGCTATCTTTGAATCCTCAGAGCTAGAACAAGTCCTTCATAACTTCAAGATAGCTCTAGGATGCTAGTTTCTCCATTTCTATCTCAGGCAGGGATTCTAGGAGGGTTGCTTATGTCACTAATGCCTGGGTCATGTGCGGATACCGAGAAGTATCATCTTGGGCAGGTAACATACTTTGAATTGCCAAGTTTCCTTCCTTCTTTTATTTCAGGCTACCTACCTCTTTTGGTTTCTTTTGGGGTTTTTCTTCCTATAATGTCTGCATTCATTGATCCCTGGTAATAGGCACACTTTGTGAAGACTTGAAAGGGCAATAGCTTGGGATTGTGAAAATATAGCAATGCTCGTGCTGTTTATGAAATCACAGTTATGTCTGTATATCCTGGGTTCTAAGATAATTTAAGGCTGCTTATTTAAATTATAAAACATATCATAATGACTTAGATGCTGAGGTCAAATAGATAAAAGAAGAGGTATTTTATGTGGTCAGTCTTCAAAATACATGTAATGATAAGCTACAGTCCTCACAGACTCAATTAAAAATTTTCTAGTAGCCAATCCCAAAAGAAAACTAGGATTGCTTTTGTGATTCATAATATCCATATGGCTAAAACCAAGTAGCTCTTTAGAAAGAATTCAGTTCATTCAACTATACCCATTTGGCCAGAAAGAAGTTGCTCATCAAACACTGAGCTGGCATGCACCACCCCAGACCCCCTACAAAATAAATATGTAGATTGTGGTCATAAAAAAATATTCTACATAATGTCCTTGGCCCAGTCATTATCCAAAGGCCAGACCTCAAAACATCTTGTAATGATAAAATGATTGCAATCAAAGCCACTATAACATCAAGGAGCAGAGGTCAACATGGAAAAGTCTAATAATTCCATTCTGATGGTATAAATAAACCCACAGAGCATCATGAGAAATAGATGGAGAGACAGCCTTCCACAGACTTGGGTACCTTCTATGAAGCATTGGAACACAGACCATGGAGGGATTGGTACGTGCCTTCTGTGAAGCACTTACCCCATAATCATCAGTGCTGCTGTGTAAAGGCAAAGACATTGTCTCCAAATTTCCAAAAATTAAAACTAGGCATCACCTCCTTTGTAAAATTCTGTAAACTAATAGGAAGAGATCTCAGAATGGACCTCTCATTACCGTCCTTCAATGACGGCTGAAAGGAAGATCCTTAATTCTGTTTAAAAGAGAAGAACAGAACTTTACCTCTCTTTTATTGTCTGCCCACTGACATCTTGGGCTGCTAACATTTTTAGCTTCAAGTTGGATATATGGGGTGGAAAGATAGTACAGGGAGTCATCTGTCTCTGTGGCTCTGTCTCTGTCCCTGTCTCTGTCTCTCCCATCCTGGTCCTGAGTCAATCTCCCATCCCCTCTGCTCAGCACCTTCTGCTTGTTTACATACAGTGTCCAGGTTTTTATTTGTGTTTATTGGGAAGAAAAGGGAAAATGTATCCTTTACTTCTCCAAAGTTGAAAAATTTCAGATCTGTATTTTATTGTTTTATTGAGGCAGTAGAAAGCAGAACGTGAATCTCAGATACAGATATTTGTTAGGACTTGGCCTCCTTTTCTGTGCTCGGTACTGTAATGTTGTCTTCTTTGTGTTTTGCTTGCATACTTCTTCATCAAGACTGAGTGAATTAGCAGAAAGATAAAGAATATAGCTTAGAGAATAGGGGTAGTTAACCTGTAGAGGTGATCTGCGTCATCCTTCAGTGACTGTTCTAGGGGATTGATGTGCATCAATGAAGACAGAAAGAAGCCCCAAAGCCTGAAGTGCTATGCCCATAGAAGCGGTCCTCCATTCTGAGATGCTTCAATTCTGTATTTGTTTACAGTGAACTTAATGGTAATGCCTTCAAGGGACTCATGGGGAAGTGTTCGAAGCTTGGTACCTGTGGCAGCACATCAAACCCTCTTCAGTCCATCTTTCCTCCACAGATTGGGTCACAGGTCACAAAGGGAATCATTTTCTACTGGCTCACTGTTAACAGCTCACAGTATTTTTGTATTGCATGTATATTCAAAGCCTTTTGTCTCTACAGAGCACCAGAGTTGTTGCTACTTACTTCCCAGAGTAATCCTGGGTCTGACCACTAAGTAGGCCATTGCTGCCCTTTTGTCCTTTTTCTTTCCTCACTGTTCAAAATCCTCATTTTAGTACCACTATGGGCCAGCCTCCAGTTAGCACTGTTTGAATCCTCACACATCCTCAGCTGAGATTTGCTAGGTGCGGAGGATTTTCTCTGTTGAGACTCCATTTTCCCATCCTCTCAATGTACTCAACTCTCCCTTGCAAGGATCCAAGCCTCTCCCCGGGATGTGTCAGTCAATCTGCTCACCTGCCACAGTCATCCTGAAACCTGAGGATCCCCAAGGACTTTCTGGGTGTGAGTTCCTCTCATTCTCACTCTGGAATGTTTGAATACCTCCCGAGTCCACAGTCCTTGGTGGGGTCTATGTTCCCTATACTGTCCTCAGGGACTTTGACCTTAGCCTCTGGGTGACTTGTAATCTCCTCATGAGCTTTCTGTGTCCTTGGTAAGGAAACGGCTCCTGGGGGAACCCAGAAACACCTAAAATTTGCTGTTAAATATATGAGTTCTGCAGAAGCCATTTCTGAACATTAATTTTAGACATGTGGAGAGGGCTGAGAGCTGATGGTCTGGTTGGTTCCACTCATATGAGCATAAAGATCTTCATGCACACCAGGCACCCCCCACCCAACACTTCTGCTCATGAATAAGGAAAGAAAAGCAGTGGAATGCCCATTTACTCTAAGAAAAGAACAAGGTCAGCCTTTCTGATAGGGATTGGGTCCTTCAAAAGATCACTTTAAAGAAAGCATGGAAAATATAACCATCCTTAAACTGATTGTCTTCTACCCCTGTGGAGAATCTGCATTATTATTATTTAAAAAATATTTTTATTGAGTTTTTGTACATCTCATGCAATAGTTCTTAATCAAATTTATACCCCCTGCCCCATCCATGCTCCCCCCGTCCCCCAACTAGAACTCTTGCATTCCACCATACATGTTAAGTCCTATCTGGTCAAGCATGTGTGCCTAGATTTCCTTCGGTGCAAGTTCATCCACTGGAGTCTAGTCAACCTGACTAGAGATCTTAAGGTTTACTCTTCTTCACCCAGCAGTAATCAGTCTCCAACAGTTCCTAGGCTAGGGCTGGCCATCACCCATTTTCCTTGCTTCACTCAGGGCTGTTGTCTCACTGAGTTGGCATGGGTCTTGTACACAATGCCACTATTGCCACAAGTTCACATGAGCAAGCTTTCAGTGGCCTGAAAACCTCTCTTTCCGCTTATGGACCAACTCTGGCTCTTTCAACCTTTCTGCCCCCTCTTCTGCCATGGTCCCTGAACTGTGGGTGGGTAGGTGAGGTTTAACATAACAGTCCAATCCTGGGACACACACTCTGTAGTCTGCATAGTGAATTCCAGGCCAGCAGGGGCTACAGGAGACCCCGTCTAAAAGAAATTTAGCTCCTTAATTTTACTCAAAGTTTCATAGAAATTTATTTGTATTATGAGGTGAAACTGGGATAAATTAGATTTTCCCTTTTTTTCCCTTTTTTTAAAAAATATGTGACTAGCCAGCTGCCTCAGCAACATTTGTTGATAAGATCATCCTTTCTCCAGCATTCCATGGAACTCCCTTCATTTTAAAGCTTGTCCATTGGTCTGTCTTTGTGATACATACATACAGATGAGGGAAAGGGGGCATGAGTAGGCCATGGTTTGTTTTTGTAGTTTTCTTTAATTAGCATTTAGATCATTTCCATTTTAAGTTATTAATAGTGATGAGCCTAATTTTACATATAGTTTGTGACATAGGCTGCGTACTTCTTTGGTGCTTTATAGGATAAATTACTTATTTTCATAGGATAAATAGTACTGTAGCCAACATTATATATTATTTATAAGATATGTGTTACTTGTACTTTGCAAGAATTACTATATTTTCATGGAAATTAATTTTATATAGTTAAGCTAAATGCATTTTTTAACTTGTCTCATGAAAAATCTAAAAAGGGAGAAATTTGAAAGGATGTCAAAATTTTTTAAATTATTTTTATTTTATGTGTATGAGTGTATTGCCTGCATGTGTGTAAGTGCACCTATGTCAAGCAATGCCCATGACGATCAGAAGAAGCCATCAGATCCCATGGAACAGGAGTTATGGATGGTTGTTAGCTACCATGTGGGTGTTGGGAACCAAACCTGGGTCCTCTGCAAGAGCAACTAGTGCTCTTAACCATTGGGCCATCTCTCTAGCCCCTGAAAGGCTGTCTTAAGGTTTGCAAGTTATCTGCAAATCACATATGTGGCTTTGAGGGACTGTATCATATTAGAAGTTCCTGAGATATCCTTACTGGTTTATAGTGTGCTGTGCTTTGCACAGCACATGAACAGCATCATGACTGACCCATGGCTTGTTGTGAATGCAGATTCCCAATCCCTGAACCAAATACTGCAGCAGAATCTAGATTTAACAAGATCCCTTGTATACATGAAATTTGGGAAGCAAGATCTTACTAAATTATATGAAACAAATGAAAACTGACAACTTTTTTTCTAATGGGAACATTGTTTTGTCATGTAAATTTCCATGATCTTTGTAATATGTGCATAGGCTATAAAAATATAGAATTACAATTGAATTGGCTGATGGCGACTAATTATAGACCTTAATTGCCAAAATAATTTTTGTAAAAAGCTTATTACTTTCAAAATATATATTCACACTGGGCATAGTGACACACACCTTTAATCCTAGTGTTTGGGAGGCAGAGCAGGCAGACCTCTGTGAGATCGAAGCAGACTGATCTACATAGTGAGTTCGAGGCCAGCTGGGCTTACACAGGTTGAATGACATCTCAGGGACCAGTGTCCCAAACTAGCTGGCCTGGTCATAATACATATGGCTTTATAACTAATGGCGCCAAGAAGGGATTTAGCCAATAGGTGTTTGATGAATTCCAGTTACCCAACTGAACGTTTGGGAATTATGAATAAATTCAAGCAAGCCCATCTTTTCTCACAATGGTTTATGCAGACTCAAAAATATTAGTTTTAAGTTTGATGTCTTTCTTTTTTCTTGCCATACTTATCAGTAGTAGAATGGCAGAGAGAAAGGGAATGAGGAAAAGAGGGTAGAGAGAGAGAGACAGAAAGAAGGAGAGAGAGAGAGGGAGGGAGAAGGAGAGAACCCACAACATATACTGACCTTCAATCATCTGAAATTGGTTTCTGATATGTATTACATGAAACTTTCATTCCTACTTCTACATTCTGACCTTTTCTCCCCTTGCAATCAGTGGTGAGTTTCCCTGGGTATGAGGTCTGTGCGTTCTCATAGGCAAAACAGTTTAAATATGGAAATGCTTCTCCTTGCTCCAAACAGCATGGCTCAGGCACCTGCTGAAGGAAGTCACAGATGACTAGAGGAACAGAGGACCTGTGTGCGCATGCGTGTGTGCGTGTGTTTCTATGTGTGAGTGCAGGCATGCACATGGCATGGTGCCGTATTGTCAGAGGACAGCCTTGGATGTTGGTCTTCCATCTTGCTTTTGAAAACAGGGTTTCTTGTTTACCTCTGCATAAGGCAGACTAGCTGGTCCCCAGGCTTCTAAGGATTCTTCTGTCTCAGCCTTCCATTTTGCCATAGAAAAACTGGGATTACAGATGCTGGCTACCTCCTCTGACTTTACATGGGTTCTGAGGATTCAAACTCAGGTCCTCATGCATGCAAGGCAAACGTTTGACCCACTGAGCCATCCCAGAAGGAGCTGACATGAATGAACACTATCATTCAAGTTTGGATCTAAGAGGCACAGGCCTATTCTCTTCCATGTGTCTTGTGTGGTACATGGGTCTCTGGAATTTTATTACATACACAAGGTTCCATGGGGAGGGAGGTGAGGGCTGGCAGCACAGGCAAGAGAAAACTGCAGTATGCATAAGCAAAATCCATTCTGTCTTTCTTTGCTTTCCCAGTTGCCAAGATCTTCAAACAGAGATTTCCACCCTCCAGGAGCAGATCTGTCATTTGCAGTTCGTGATTCACTCCCAGCATCAGAACCTGCGCAGCATCATCCAGGAGGTCAGACTCACAAGTGCATTTCTCAGGTAGATGGTAGGTTTACAGTATGAAGACCCAGCGCGGGCAGCTTGGCAGGGCTTTAGAAACCAGGAAGCTCCTTCCCCTCTGTCACATCACCTTTGTTTCTCAGGCAACCTGGCTCGATTTCACTGCCTTCTCTTGTTTGTAATGTCAACACCTGCCAGGTACTAGATGAAGATAGTTTGAAACACTGTGTTTAACTGCTTTTTAGATGTTCTAGTGATTTTTATATGAACTTAAGTGTTGAGTCCAATATAGTTCACTGTTATTTAGAAGATTTTGTACAACAGGAAAGTAAGATATATCCTGAATAGTCTGTTTTGGGGTATGTGTATGCTTTTAAAATTGTTATTTATTATTTATCTATTTATTTTTGCCGATCTGTGGATTGCATATGTCTAGTACATGTTATGCAAGTGCTCTAACACTGAACCATACTGACAGCTCTATTTTACTTTTTTTTTGAGACAGTGTTTTGCTAAATTGCCCAGGTAACCTGGGAGTTATGTAGCTCAGGCTGTCCTTGAATTTGTAATCCTCCTGTCCCAGCCTTCTGGGTTGCTGGGATTCCAGGTGCCACAAGAATTGACTATCTTCATATCCTCATAAACTCTGAATCTATGAGAGATTTTAGAACAGGAAATAGTCTAGCACTGTGTAGGCACATCCTGGTAGGTGAAAAGGAAGAGGTAATGGTGTAGCTAGAATCCAGGTGTGACTGTACTTAAGCTCTGTTTTCAAAATCAGTCAGTTCAATTTTTTGCTATCCAATACTTGTTTCCAAAGGAATACTTCCATATCATGCCAGTTCCTTCCTGCTGTAAATGTAGCATTTGTCTTTGACTTCATCCAAGGGCCAGAATGTTGAGTAATGAGGCTGAGGGCCGTAAGGGATCTTGGGGGAAACCCAGAGTCTCATTTCATACATGATAAAACAGAAGTTTGCTCAGAGTGGTTCAGTGACAGAGCTGGTGGTGACAGACTTCGCTTTAAATCCACAGTGTCCTCTCTTCCAGTACAGTTCTGCACCTCACCACCCCACCTCAACTCCACACGGCCACCTGGTACAGTGCCAAACCTTGTCTTGCCATTGAATAGCACGATCCCCACCTCAGGGAGAGGGCTCCTGCCTCCCGCGCGCAGGGGCGGGGCCTTGCACTCCCGTCCCCCAGTGGGTGTACCTGCAGGATGAGACATGGTAACAGCTGCCACCTTTGGTACTCTGTTCACCTGCTGAGTTTTCCAGAAGGTGAAAAATGCAGAGTGGCACCAGTCGACAGCTTTCCTCCCAGAGGCCAGTTCTGCCTGGCCTGTGATTACAGTATCCTGCTGAGTTGGCTAATGTTGTGGGATTTCCTGTTTTTATTTGACGAATATCATTTGAGCCTGGAAAGCTGTTTGATTCTTGATTTACATAACTGTTCCTGATGATCTGACCTGATTTTTCAGTTGTGTTTCTTGACTCTTAGATGGAAGGATTAAAAAATAATTTAAAGGAACAAGATAAAAAAATTGAAAATTTGAAAGAAAAGGTCACCATACTTGAAGCCCAGGTAAGAAGAGACCACGCTGTGTATTTCAGGGTTGGTAAATGTGTGTGCAAGTGTATGTCCATGATGAGTAAATGGTACATTACACACATACACACATGTATGCTTGTGTGTGATGTGTGCTTGTATGTGATTGCATCCTGTAAGTTCATGTACATGGATGTATATACATATCTTTGTGAGTGTATATGCATCTCCTATGTATGAAAAATATAGCTTAATTCTAACAATTATAAATTGTTACTAAATTATTTAACATCCTTATTAAGTTATTAACATTAATATTGCATGTCAAGTAGATGTTAAACACATTAAAGATTTATCTACATTTTCCCTGAATATTCACTGTATTGGTAAGACTGACAATGACCCTTTAAAAATATTGCTGTGGATTCTTTGAGAACTTTATGCAATGCATTTTGATCCTATTCAGACCTTTCCCCATGCTTCACCACCACCCTACTTTGACCCTGACTTCATGTCCTCTATTAGTATTTTTCTTTTTTTAAAGCCCTATTGAGTCTAATTTGTGTTCCCCAAATATTCTTGGGTGTGGGTCCATCCTAAAAAATTATATTTTTTTGAAACAGAAATGAATTAGAAGGTTGGTCAAAGCTACTCTTGTGTAAATTCTACCCTAGGCAATATGGCTACACTTCCTGTTCCCCACTCCTGTTCCCACACTTACTTCCTTCTGGCCTGATGCATCCACCTCTTTTCTTTCATCATCCACATCCATCCTGGCTTCCCAGCTTTGCCTTAAGACTTGCTTGCATCCAAATACCTGCTGCAATTATCTTGTTTTTCAGTGCTTTAAAAACTCAATGTAAAACGAGAGCTTTTTCTTGGGAAGTTGGTTTGAGAAGTGGTGCAATTTGATTTTCCTAAATAGTAGAAGATTCTCTGCGACCATAAAATCAAGAGCTCCCCCCCTGGTAGTTATTCAAGAAACTGACTCTTTTAAACTGAATCAAGTAACATTGCAATTACATTAATTTCCACTTTTGTTGGTTTCGACCTAGCGATTTATCATGGTCATTCATTTTTAAATTAAATTTTATTGTAAAGACTGAAAATGCAAAACAAAAACAAAACCAGAAACTTAGCACAATACTTTTAATTTCCTGTTATAAGAAATGCTTTTGGGGCTGGAGAGATGACTCAGTAGTTAAGAGCACTGGCTGATCTTGCAGAGGACCCACGTTCAATACCCAGTACCCACATGGCACCTAATAACTGTCTGTAACTCCAGTTCTAGGGGAATTCAATGCCCTCTCCTGACCTCCGTGGGCATTGCACAACACACATGGGTGCACTTACACACGTGCAGGCAATACACTCATACACATAAATCAAAGAATAAATAAAATACTAAAAAGAAATGCTTTTGTCCCTGTCTACTCATTTCCTCTCCTGTAAACTGCTTCCTGGATTTTAGTAGTAGTTTTCTTCTGTCTCACTTGAAGTGCAGTAAAGGCCACCTCTCAAAGTCAGAGTCCCTCCAGAGCCCAGAGGCGTCTCCCCCTCAGCCCTGCTCTCTGCTGCCCTCACTCCTTTGTCTCCTATGGCTCATTTCCAGCTGCCTGGATATGATAATCTTTCTAATTTATCCTCAGTGTTTTCATTTCCTCTTGATGTCTGCCTGTCAGACCTGTCCTGTCCTATGCAAGACACTGGAAACCTGCATCATGGGTTGGAAGCTTCCTCCTCCCAACGATAGCCTGGAGAGGAACATCACAGTTTCCCTTGGCTCCTGGCTCTCCGTGCCTCCTACCATCTAGTGGCTTTGTTGTTATTGTTTTGTTGTTTGTTTGTTTGTTTTTCTTTTCCCATCACAAAATTTTAAAAGTCATAATAATGTAAAGAGGCCGTGACTGTTTTCACATCTGGGCTTTGTAGCTTTGTTTCCCACTTCTCCCTTCCTGAGTACCTCTCTTCTCTTCTCTTTCCAGAGGAGAGAGTTCACTCCTCCCTATCTGTGGGGTGTGTGGGGGCGTTGGACTGATGGAAACATTACTCTTGCCTGTCTACAACAAAAAATGCAGTGATTGTGGAGTTATTGGATCAAAACTAGTGCTCCCCCAAGAGCTCGGTAATGGCTGGCTGATTTCTGTCAGGGGACCTCCACATTATGTGATTCATGGCTCCTCAGAGCCTCTTCCTCCTAAAATTGCTCTCTAGAGCAGATCTTCACATTTTTCTCATTCAGTAGCCTTTTGGCAAATGTTGCCTGATAATTTTTTTTCTATTAGTACTGTAAGTGTTAATTTATGTTTTTATTTCATTCATATTGTTGCATGCATTTCTTATAGTTTTATAACTCGCATAGATTCATTCATTCCATAAGCTAAGACATAAGAATAAGCAACTATAATAAGAAAAATCACAAAATTACCATTCCTGCACAACAGCTCAGTGTAGTTATATATGTATTTCTATGGGAATCTGTGTGCTGGTTTGGCATACTTTATACATATTAAAGTTATAGAATAGATATGGCAGACTATGTCTATTATAGCTTCTAAGTTGTAATCATTTAATTCACTTGTTTATAACAGTAATTATGTAATTTGGTCTACAAGTTCTTCTTGGGTGACAGCTGCAATATAAGCCCTGAATTCAGAAACAATAGTGTTGTGAGACATAAACCCTTTACTCCAGAATTTACTGGCTACTGAATGAACTTAACAGGCCCATGTATTCTAAATTCTTAGATTGGAATAATGTTCCGGTGGTGCATCAGACCTCTCTGGCCCCAATACCTTGCTGCTTTAATTATTGTACAGCCATAATGCATTTTGGTTGGAGAGGCTAAGTTATTTTTCAGCTGGCATCTTTCTCTGATTTCACTTAGTTATGATTCTGGGCTCTGGTTCTCACTAATGAAGTATCGGCTCTCATCACAGAGTTGCCACATCAACAGTATTACTGCTTCTAGTTCAATGTTATGTTATTTAGTTATATCTGTTTATATCATCCAGTAAGTATATTACAACTTATCCTAAATACTGTACATTCATCCAGTTGGCATTGTGGTCCTCTATTGAGACCAGGAAAATGTGTCTCCTTGCATCCTACTCTGTCTTTTAAAAAAAAATTCTTATTTGATTTGATTTTTATTTCTGTCAACGTGTGTGTGTATCTGTTTGTATGTGATGTATGAATGGGTGTCTGCAGAGGCCAGAAGAGGGTGTTGAATCCCTTAGAGTTACAAGTGGTCGTGAACCACTGATGTGGGTGCTAGGAACCAAACTCAGATCCTCTAGAAGAGCGCTCTTAACTGCTAAGCCATCTCTCCAGTGGCTCCTGCTCACCCTACCCCCACTCTGTCTTTACATTTCCGCTTCAACAAGAGATTGCTGACATGCTACTCCATGGGGACAACAGACCTATGCTTCCCTTATGGAAACATCTTAATTGGCTGCAGGCTCCCCGACAGTGATGCAACAATACCTTTCAGTATTTTCTGAGATTCTCTGGGTGTAGCTGAACACTGGCCCCTGTTTTTTGTCTGTTTTTTGTTTTCTTTTATAAGCAAGACTTGGAATGACAGCAATATCTATTAAGTGCCTTTATGTTCTCAAAATCTATTTTCTTCAGTAGGTATTTTCTTTCTTAACAGTGTTTATTACCATGACCTTTGAACTTTCAAAGCCCAAGCTGCATTAATTTATGAAACAGTTTCATGTAGCCCAGGCTGACCTCAAACTTACTATGTAGCCAAGGATGACTCTGAACTTTTGATACTCTTGCCACTAAGTCCTCGTGCTGAGATTAGAGGTCTGTAATACTGTGTCTAAGGTTAACAGTGGTGGGGATAGAACTCCAGGCCTTGTGGATGCTAGGCAAGCACTCTACCAACTGAGCTACATCCCCAGTCCTTCATGTATTTATTCAACGAAACAGTTTTATGTATTTATGTGCCCCAAAATTTTAACTGTTAGGTTGTGCTCTTTGACTTCATCTTGTTTAAGCTCAAATTAAGGATAGAGGGAACAACCAGATAAGCAAGAAAATGCACAGTTTAAGGAGTGCTAAGTGCTCCAAGGAAGAATGGAACAGTAAGAGGAGTTAGTGACAGGATCAGAGAGGGCATCTTTGAGCAGGTGATATTTAATGAAGCATCTAAATACAGTGGTGAAGAAGAGGGCTGTAGAGAGTCATTCTGAACTCATTTCTAGTAAGTCCTTTACTGCAAAGCTCTTAACCTGGCATGATACATCCACATGATGCAAGGGCGGACTAGCCAGCACTGAAAAGAGAAGACCACTACCCACTGTGGAACTGATCAGATAATGGGACTGTCTGATCCTGTTTATGAAAAGTGGTTCCCAGGGCTTGGATAACCCTTCTGAACACACCAACTTTATAAGCCACTCAGACAGTATCATCTTCACCCACACCAATGACATTTTTCTCTTTTGTAGGCATGCTGCACACTTCCTTCTGTTTAATCCTCAAAGCTGCTCTATGGGAAAGTTATTTATTTTGTTTTGTTAGTGATGAGCTGGAATTCAGAGAAGATACGAAATTTATGTTTGTTCAATGATTATAGAACCTGTATTTAGGTGTCCTTAACTTTAAGCACATGACCTACCTGACAGTGTCTACTTGAGTGATCAGATAAATGTATGTGTAGGTGTATGTATATTGATATATGTGAAATATATATGGGTACATGTATCTAACAATTAGAAGTGAGTAGTTAAATTAACTTCACATAATCACTTATTTTAACCATTGTCAAAATTACTATTAAAATTTCTATTTTATTATTAGTTTCAGTTCATAGAAATATTTTCCTGTGGTTTTCTTTTTATTCCATTTGAAG